AGGGATGGGAGCTGGGGGGGCCCAGCCCCATGGTTGGGGTCTCCTAGACATGGGGGATGGATAGAACCCCCATCACAGTGCTTCTCCCCAACTCTGGGAGGGGAGGGGAGTGGGGTCTCGTGGTTACAGCACGGGGGGCTAGGAGCCCGCGCCGGGTTCTCTGTGGAGCGTGCTGTGCGGTATGGGCCATTCGCTCGCGATGCTCAGCCGGCCAACAAGACGTGGGGGGGGAGGGAGACTGGGTGCCCTGGCTGCCCCCTCCCGCAAGGGAAATACAAACGCCAGACAGCTCCTCCCTACAACTAGGCCTTGGCTACCCACAATTCCTTGCAGCATCACTTCTTGATCCCTGGGGAGGTGATGGGGCCACAAGTGAGAATGGGCCTCCCACCCGTTTTCTCCTGCCCCATGGCAATGTCAGTGGGGGTGGGGGAGGGGACCTTCCTGCACTAGGAGACCAGACTCGGGTTCTATCCCAGCTCTGGGAAGCGAGTGGGGCCTAGTGGTTAGAGCAGGCAGTTTGGGGGCCATGGTGACTCCATTGATCTCCCCTTTTGCCCTCAGATCCCCCAGATCAGCTACGCCTCCACCGCCCCCGAGCTCAGCGACAACAATCGTTACGACTACTTCTCCCGCGTGGTGCCCCCCGACTCTTACCAGGCCCAGGCCATGGTGGACGTGGTGAAGGCGCTGGGCTGGAATTACGTCTCCACACTGGCCTCTGAGGGCAACTACGGGGAGGCAGGGGAGCGGCGGGGGTGGGGAGCACCGGCAGAGCTGCGGGCGGGAGTGAGGGGCACCAGCAGAGTTGGGGGGCAGGGGCTGCAGGCAGGAGCAAGGGGGCACCAGGAGGGGCTAAGGGCAGGAGGGGCACCGGCAGGGCTGGGGCACAACTGCCAGTGACGGGGGGTCCCTGTGCCCCCAGGAGGCGTCTGCATTGCTCAGTCCATCAAGATCCCACGGGAGCCCAAGGCCGGGGAGTTCGACAAGCTCATCAAGCGGCTGATGGAGACGCCCAACGCCCGCGGCATCATCATCTTCGCCAACGAGGACGACATCAAGTGAGTGAGGGGCTGCCCCCAGCGCCCCCAGCCTGGGAGGGCAGGACTCACCCTGCTGGCGTTGTCGCCCCCTGCAGGCGGGTGCTGGAGGCTGCGCGCCGTGCCAACCTGACGGGTCATTTCCTCTGGGTCGGCTAGCGGCTGATGGAGACGCCCAACGCCCGCGGCATCATCATCTTCGCCAACGAGGACGACATCAAGTGAGTGAGGGGCTGCCCCCAGCGCCCCCAGCCTGGGAGGGCAGGACTCACCCTGCTGGCGTTGTCGCCCCCTGCAGGCGGGTGCTGGAGGCTGCGCGCCGTGCCAACCTGACGGGTCATTTCCTCTGGGTCGGCTCTGACAGCTGGGGCTCCAAGATCTCGCCCATCCTGAAGCAGGAGGAAGTGGCCGAGGGAGCCGTCACCATCCTGCCCAAGCGGGCGTCCATCGATGGTAACGGGGACCCCTGGCCGC